TCGCTTAACCAATTTAGTGAAATACAATAAAAATAATCCAAATACACTGGATCGCTTAAGATTTCATTCTCTCTAAGCGATCCTGTGTATTTGACTTAGTCGCTTAAAGATCTGGTTGTATTTTGTTATCGCTTAAGCGATTCTACGCTTTTACACTTGGTCGCTAACAAGACAGAATCATAAGTGTCCCAGACGCACGATCGCTTAAGCGATTTTTGCTTTTAACCTGGTCGCTTAAGCGATTACAAATCGCTTAAGCGATCATGTCCAGGCAGAATAAACTTTGCCTAGATGCATAATTGCTTAAGCGATTAAGTGTATCGCTTAAGCGATTCTTTGCTTTTACTATTGGTCACTTAAGCGATCATGAACAAGAGAATAAATAAGTGTCTAGACCATGATCGCTTAAGTATCGTTTAAGCGATTCTTCGCTTTTACTGTTGGTCGCTTAAGCGATCATGAACAAAACAATAAATAAGTGCCCAGAGCATGATCACTTAAGCGATCCTTTTCTTTTAACGTTGGTCCTTAAGCGATTTATAATCGCTTAATCATGTCCGAGGTAGAATAATCTTCTGCCCAGATGCATGATCGCTTAAGCGATCTAATATCGTTTAAGTGATTTTTCGCTTTTACGTTGGTCGCTTAAGCATCTACGATCGCTTAGGCAACCTACAATCTCTTAAGCGATCACGAACAAGACAATCAAAAGTGCCCAGACGTATGATCGCTTAAGCGATCCTTTACTTTTAACCTTGGTCGCTTAGCGATCATGTCCGAGGCAGAATTAACTTGTGCTCAGATGCATGATGCTTATCGCTTAAGCGATTTTTGCTTTTACTCTTGGTCACTTAAGCGATCATGTCCGACGCTTGGAATTTGTGTCGGCATCCTCCTCTTCAGTTTCAATTTCACTCTTGCCCTCCCTTGTTCTACTAATAGATGTTTTCCGTCAACGCCGTCTCCTCTCCTGGTGGAGCAACTCAGTCATCGGAAGTTCTCACCATAACTTCTTCTTCTCCATTTTTGGTAGACCCGAGTAGTACCTACAATTTGGAGAGTAGAGGGTTTTTTTTTCTGTTTTTTTAAGGATCTCAGCCATTATAACTTAATTGGGAATGACAAGGAATGACAAAAATGCAAAGAGCAAAGAAATGAGAAATTGCAGAAATTGGAAAGAAAAAAACGAGACAGAGAAAAGTGTTTGAATCCTGTTGTGAGAAAGAGAAGCTGAGAGAAATTTGTTTTGCCTTTCAAATTTTAAATCAACTTCTCTTATTATTTACCTCTAACCCACAAATGTTTAATCTTTCACCCTAATCCTTTTTGCTGCTTAATTACACTTAAGTGTGCCATGTCATATTTTAACCCAAAAAAAAAAAAAAAAAAAAATCAAAAGATTTTCATGGCCATTTTGTTAAATGGAACTTGGTGGCGTGGTAGCTAATTTTCTCCAAATAATGGCTCATCTCTAAACTTATTTAAGGGGGTAAAATATCAAATTAGTTAAAAAGAAAAGAAAAAATACATATCTATTCTCATTTAAGATATTATTACTAATAATGATAGGTTAACAATTATAATCACTTAATGAAAATATACACTTCAAAATATGAAAGATGAAATTATTAAAAAACTTAATTTTACTTAAAGTTTGATAAATAAATTTAAGTTTATCCCAAAACATTTAATTCTTAATTTATATTTATTATTGATTAAAGTAGTTAAATATGAAAATTTAAAGACTATTATTTATAATTGGTTGTTATAATTTATAGTAAAACTTATTAATATCTAAATGAAGTTCAAATTAATAGTCACTTATGAATTGTGACTAACAATTATTTCATATGCGGTTGTATTATTATAGTTTAAGATGATCTAATGGATTCCATAATGAAAAGAGAAAGGTAATAGTATTGTCCATTCCCAAGAAATGGTTGATAAAGATTCCTAGCTAGCAAATCCATTCCCACTATAAATCTTAATCCATTAATTTTTTGAGAAACTTAAATTCAAATTGCCTTTTTACCCCTAAAGAAATATTTTTAATGTTAATTTTTATAAAAATTAGCCGACAATGATTTTTTTTTTTTAATTTAACAATATAATCGAAAATTTTAAACTTATATTAATATTTTAAAGTTGAGAGTGTTTCGTCCACATTCGCTATATCATTCAATTCTCCCCATATATATATATATTAGTTTTTTTTTTTTTTTTTTATTTTGTTACGTAGAGCATTTCTAATGATGCTCTTTTTTGAAGAGCATCTTTCATATAAATAAAAAGTATTTTTAATATTTTAAATATAAAGAACACAATTTTTATTCAAATTCAATAGACTCTTTAAATTTAATGAAGATGATTTTTTTTTTTTTTTTAAGAAAAAAACTTAATGGAGAGAGAATTAATAATAAAATGCATAGGAACTTGTAGTTTTATTATTAAAATTAGGATAGATAGTGAAATTTGACTCTCTAAATGTGGAGAGTCAAACTCACTCTAATTTATTTTTAAAGATAAAAAGTCTATTAGACTTGTTTTTATGAATAAATTCTTTATAATAAAGAGTTTGAGTCATATAAATAGTCATTTGAAAATGCTCTAAGCAATAGAAACCATTGCATTTCTTTAACTTTCTCTATCTTTCCCTTATTATTATGTTGTTCCATGAAGTAAACATGGCCTTAGAGGTTTAAAATAATTACCTATTTTTTATTTGAGTAATCTAATTTCAGGAGATTAATCAATTAAAATAAAAGGTTTTCATAAACTTATAATTGCCAATAGTTAAGGAATAGTCAACTACTAAATTGTTTACATTAAATTTTGCTAAGGATAAAATTAAAATTATATAGATTTAAATAATATCTTTAAATAAATTCAAATTATTATAAAATCTTAGAAATGTAATAAGGTCATGAGTTAAAAAAAATTAAAACCATCAAATTATAATAAAAACCAAAAAATTTATAAAACTTAAAAGGACTAAAAAAAAGAAAAAAAAGAAAAAATCATTTTAGTTAATCAATAATACTTCATCCTTATTTTTTAACATTAATACCCTAAGGGGCCATTTAGATCTCGTGTATATTATAACGGGGTAATATATTTTAAATTAGGTAGATACCATGTTTGGTTGTTTGTAAAAAAACATTTCCGGAAAAAAGAGGTCAAATAGTGCCAAATTGGGGGTAAATCACCGGAAATAATTATACCTGGGGGGAGGGTGGTATTAAAAATTACTTCGGTAATGCAAAATTTTGTCCAATTTTGCCCCAAAACAGTGACAATGTGGACGAAATATTCTTGGCTTTGTTAATAATTATAAAACACCTAATTTTTACAGAAGACAGATTTGTCTTCAGTTTTTTAATTTTTCATACAAAATTGCCCTACTTATTATCAATATTTTCATAAATGCCACGAAATATTGTTATACCCATATTATCCTTACATATTTGCATATTGTGATCAAAACACCCCCACCCACCACAATGCCAGATTTCGGCCACCACCGCCGGAATCTGGTTAGAATCTGTCGTTATGACTCAGACTGGTCAAATCTGGCAGGTGGTGTGTTGATTTGGCTTTTTTTTTCGACCAGATCCACCATGAATCGGATTTGACTATAAAAGGCTAGATCTACGACCAGATCTAGCCATTGACAGCCGCAAAAGGCCAAATCTAACTGTCAGAGACAGCTAAAGAGTTGGTCGTCATTGACCGTCAACGAAGGCCAAGAGTTGGCCGTCAATGACAGCCATTTTATGACAGATTTCGACCACCACTGACAGTGGTTGCCGGAATCTGGCAACTATGGGTGGTGGGGTTGTTTTTATTAATTTTTAAACCTTTTTTTCTGGGGGTGTTAAGTTAATAAATTTAAGGGGTCTAAAAGTAATTAAAAAAATAGAATAGTATTTCCCAAATAATTAAACAAACAAGTATTTTGGGAATAGGATAGAGAATATGGTTTGAAATAATAAAACAAACAAGCTTTTAATTATTTATATCTCGTAATCATCTAAAAGACATTTAGTAAAATGTAATCAAGACATATGCTCTTACAGCCAACCGAACAGATTAATTAGTAATACAAGTAATCATCCTAAGGGCATTTTAGTAAAAGAGTATTTTAGGACATCTGTTATTACTATCAACCAAACATATTAATTACTAATACATTCTAATTGAACCAAACATAATAATAATTTAAACCCGATAATCTACAATGTAATCTTTCTTTCCGATAATCTTATTAATAAGATAAAAAAATATTATATGATCCAAACGCTACCTAATAATGTGTTTGATTGAGGATAATCTCCTAATCCTATTACTCTAGTAATGACATCCAATCCGGCCAGATCGTTGTATCTGATTCGTCATCTTATTTTATGATATCCACTTACACTAATCAATAAATACTTTCATGTGTTGAGCTTTAAAAAAATTGGGAGATAAAATGACACTACAATGGCGGTCTAAAACATCACATTCTGCTTCTACGGTTCTACCAAACCCAAAACAGTTTGATGACACGAGATAAATTGTCACATCAGTTTTGAAGTAGTAGCTTTACATAACTATCACGTGGAGGGTAGCTAGCATATTTTTTTATGTAATTTTTATTGCAAATCAAATGACACCTTATCTATCATATTTCCTCCAACACTAAATGTTGAGTAGGTGGCATTCACGTGTGTATTTGTGAAATTGGTAACATAATTTGCTTTTTTTTTTTCAAGTAACATTTATAGATTGGCACTGAGAAAATTTGTGATGTTAATACTTGTGATTAGACCCAAATGAAATAAATTAATCAAAGAGGATAAATGAACCTCTAATTGCCCGTATCTAACAGTCGTCCACCATAAAATAAACGATATAAGTATAAATAATAATATTATACGTACAGAATCTTTTTACAAAAAAAATAGGAATATAAAGTGATACACACTAAATTTTAATTGAGATATCATCCCTCTTTAATTGATGAGTTTCACTTTTATCAATTTATTTTTAATTCCATCATTTTCTATGTATAATTTTGTAAAAAGATTTAATATATTTTGTTCTTCTCCATCCTTCCGAAATTTCTAGAGCCACATTATATAAGATCCAGAAGCCAGTCTTATCTAATTAAATCAAAACTTCTCTGGGTGCACGCACATGCCGCCTGCCAATATGCAGCTTCCAAGAAAGTCTTCATTGAATTCCGTTATTCCCCTACGGTGGCTAAACTTGCGTCTGCTTCTTCTACTTATTCTATCAGCAACTACCGCCTTCTCCGGCCAAATTGTCAAGTATCTTCCAGGATACGATGGTGAACTCCCATTCAAACTCGAAACCGGGTATAATTTCTTGCTTCGTTTTGTATACGACATAAGTTCTACAAGAAAATATAATGTGAATGTTTATTTTCATGGAGTACAGATACATAAGCGTTAATGAGTCGGAGCTGTTCTACTACTTCATTGAGTCTCAAGGCAATCCGGAAGAGGATCCTCTATTTCTTTGGCTGACTGGAGGCCCGGGCTGTTCTTCGTTCAATGGATTAATCTACGAAATCGGTACTGCATTCTTGTCGATCTTATATTATTTTGTTTTGTCCAACCAACTCGGTAGTGATAATATTGATTGATCGTGTTCGTAGATCATCAATAGTTACAACGAGTACTTGTCTCACTCTACTATCACCATAGAATTCATGAAAATCAAGTATGATTCGGTGGGAGAAGAGTGTAGAGACACAAGTATGATTAATCAACCCACCATAAAGGACGATAGATAATCGAAGCTAAAGTTGCAAATTATCTATCTGTCCACGCATTTTGACTTTTAGTTATTATTTAAATTGCCACGAGACTGTTAGGTTAAACTGTCGCAGATTTCATCAACTCCTCGATTGGTTTTTCGTAGTTTTATTTTGCTAGCCGGAGTATATCATTAGTAGAATTTATACAAATACCTCATGTAAATCTTTTTAATTTGCTGGAAAACCTTGTTTGTTAAGGTTATTGTTGTTGTTGTTGTTGTTTTTATCTCGATGGAGTTAATAATACTAACCTGAAGATCTAGTATATCATGACCTCTACTTATTGGATCTTATAATATTATACAGAGTTAATTAAACCTTCTTAAACTTGATTAAATAACAAAAATCTTTTTAAAATTTTTGAAACGATAGAAAATCCTTTTATTTTTAAAATTTAGATGTAAAAATAAAAGATNTAAAGTGATACACACTAAATTTTAATTGAGATATCATCCCTCTTTAATTGATGAGTTTCACTTTTATCAATTTATTTTTAATTCCATCATTTTCTATGTATAATTTTGTAAAAAGATTTAATATATTTTGTTCTTCTCCATCCTTCCGAAATTTCTAGAGCCACATTATATAAGATCCAGAAGCCAGTCTTATCTAATTAAATCAAAACTTCTCTGGGTGCACGCACATGCCGCCTGCCAATATGCAGCTTCCAAGAAAGTCTTCATTGAATTCCGTTATTCCCCTACGGTGGCTAAACTTGCGTCTGCTTCTTCTACTTATTCTATCAGCAACTACCGCCTTCTCCGGCCAAATTGTCAAGTATCTTCCAGGATACGATGGTGAACTCCCATTCAAACTCGAAACCGGGTATAATTTCTTGCTTCGTTTTGTATACGACATAAGTTCTACAAGAAAATATAATGTGAATGTTTATTTTCATGGAGTACAGATACATAAGCGTTAATGAGTCGGAGCTGTTCTACTACTTCATTGAGTCTCAAGGCAATCCGGAAGAGGATCCTCTATTTCTTTGGCTGACTGGAGGCCCGGGCTGTTCTTCGTTCAATGGATTAATCTACGAAATCGGTACTGCATTCTTGTCGATCTTATATTATTTTGTTTTGTCCAACCAACTCGGTAGTGATAATATTGATTGATCGTGTTCGTAGATCATCAATAGTTACAACGAGTACTTGTCTCACTCTACTATCACCATAGAATTCATGAAAATCAAGTATGATTCGGTGGGAGAAGAGTGTAGAGACACAAGTATGATTAATCAACCCACCATAAAGGACGATAGATAATCGAAGCTAAAGTTGCAAATTATCTATCTGTCCACGCATTTTGACTTTTAGTTATTATTTAAATTGCCACGAGACTGTTAGGTTACACTGTCGCAGATTTCATCAACTCCTCGATTGGTTTTTCGTAGTTTTATTTTGCTAGCCGGAGTATATCATTAGTAGAATTTATACAAATACCTCATGTAAATCTTTTTAATTTGCTGGAAAACCTTGTTTGTTAAGGTTATTGTTGTTGTTGTTGTTTTTATCTCGATGGAGTTAATAATACTAACCTGAAGATCTAGTATATCATGACCTCTACTTATTGGATCTTATAATATTATATAGAGTTAATTAAACCTTCTTAAACTTGATTAAATAACAAAAATCTTTTTAAAATTTTTGAAACGATAGAAAATCCTTTTATTTTTAAAATTTAGATGTAAAAATAAAAGATAAGAAGGTCAATTGGTAAATATTTATTTACATAAATTTTAATAATTCATTAACAACATTTTATTTTTTAAATGATAAACAAAACCTGCCTGTTATTGTTGTTTGTTGACCACCCACTTTTAAAAATTAGTCAAGACTTTCCTAATTGGCAATTTTGGGGTAAAGATAGAATTAGATTAAATTAATAAAGTTCATTTAAAATTTAACATTCTTTTTCAATTTGAAGGAAATAATTACACTTATGTCAAATCAAATAACTCTTTTAACTTCATATATATATATATATATATTTTCACTTTTAAATCTTTACATTTCTTAACACACTAAATTATTTAATAAAACATTTTAATTCAACTTAGTAATTAATGTATCTATATTCTATGCAGGACCAATGGAGTTTGATATTGACAACTACAAGGGGGGCTTACCAAGATTCAAGTACTATCCATATGCATGGACAAAGGTCGAGAAAATTTATACATCAGATCACATCACAACACAATCTAAATTTAATTTCATCTTTCTTAGTTAGACGTTAACAAATATTACTAATGTGTGTTGATAATTATCCAGACAGCCAGCATCATATTCTTAGATGCACCTGTTGGCACTGGTTTCTCTTACTCTACGAAATCAGACGCCTGGGCTTCCTCTGACTCGGAATCAGCTACGCAATCCTATGAGTTCCTTAGAAAGGTGGGTAAATTAAACTCAACCTTACCATATTTTTTTAAAAAATGCCTATGACTTTAATTAAATTCTTTTGATTAGTTCATAAGTTCAACCAAGTAGACTCTAAGAAAAATTGATAATTCAAAACCATGGCCAAGAAATGGAAGATTTCTTGTTCTTGATTGATATAATTGAGTTTCAAAATTATGTACTTGCAGTGGTTAACTGAAAACCCAAAATACCTGGCTGTTGAACTATTCATTGGTGGGGATTCTTATTCAGGCATAAGCGTTCCTCAAATCACCAAATTGGTTGTAGAGGGTACGTTATTTTTTGTGATATGCATATTCATTATTAATTAAAAGCTCAAAAATCAAAATTAATATTCTATAATATGTACTGCCTTGCAGGAAATGAAGCTGGTGCCCAACCAATTATGAATCTGATAGTACGTGATCAATATATATGACTTCACCTACTCTAATTCATGACTCTACTAATTCAATTTTTCTGATAGCAAATAGTATAGCATTATGCAGTAATTTCACTTGGAAATGAATGAATGATAACAGGGGTATTTGCTTGGGAGCCCACGAACGGATTCAGTGATTGATGAGAATTCAAAAATTATATTTGCTCATCGCATGGCCCTTATATCTGATGAACTCTATGAGGTGATTTTAAATATATATTTAATTTTGTATATATATTAATATGCCTGCATTGCTAATTTAATTATTATTTACATTTTCTTTTAGACTATGGATTTTTTATTTCTAGATTCTGCAATTTTTCAGGACCTCAAAGTACAGTGCAATGAGAACTATGTGAATATAGATCCAGCCAATACAAAATGTGTAGCTGCTTATGAACTTTACGAAAAAGTAAGATGATTAGCAGAACAGCAGTCCAGTTCCACTAAAAACAAATAATTTTCTTCAAGCTTCCCAGAAATGACTGATTAATTTTATTTTCTTAATTTTTGTAATTGCAGTGCGTTAAAGATTTATTTCGCAATGACATTTTGGAACCGAAATGTACTTTTGCATCGCCAGATGTAGACCAAAGAGAAATGCCTCACAGAGCTCTACAAGACGATCATACAAATTTTATCCTTTCACCACCAAAAATTCCTGATTTATGGTGCCGGGTTAACAATTTTTCTCCTTATCCTTTTGATATTTTGAATTCTCTAAATTGTTGCGCAATTGAATATCAACATTTTGACAAAATCTTTGGGTGCTATCCTCTTATTAAGTCATTTTTTTTTCTACTTCTCCAGACCTTTAATTATGCTCTCTCCTACATATGGGCTAACAATGACCAAGTTCAAGATGCTTTACACATTCGGAAGGTTTGTGATTAATTAAGAACTAGCATATATATGATATAAATAAATGTAATAATCTACAAATTTAATAAAATAATATATCACTTAAATTTTTTATTTATAACGGCAACAGGGGTATGTAAAAGATTGGAAGAGATGCAACAAGAGTATATCATACACGAAGGATGTCCTGAGTGTGGTTGATGTTCATCGATATCTCAGTACAAAAAGGTTACAAGTTCTAGTTGAAAGGTAAAAGTTTCTTAATCATAATTTAAATGAAATTAGCACCCACCCACAAATCTACAGTTCCTTAGGTTCTTTACTGGGCATTTTTTAATGAAATTTAATGCCTACTTTTTAACAAGTAAAAACATAAATAGAATTCTTTACTTCCATGCATTTGAAGCTATTGACTATAGATTTTGTGATGCCACAGTGGAGATCGAGACATGGTTGTTCCCTTCGTGGGTACAGAGAAATGGATAAAGTCACTTAACTTGACTATTGTAAATGACTGGCGACCATGGTTTGTTGATGGTCAAATTGCTGGGTCAGCACTTTAGCTCCATTAATCTTGTAAACATTCAACTCAAACTGATTCGATAAGTTATGCTTAAATATGCTGCTTTGTTCATATGCAGATACACTGTAAAGTATTCAGAACATGGATATCGGTTGACATACGCAACTGTAAAGGCAAGTAAACAATTTGCATACAGAGTATTTTAGATCCTTCTCTCATCATAAATCTAACAAAATTTTACTCAAATTGTATTATATAGGGCGGGGGTCATACGGCTCCAGAGTATTATCGCAGAGAATGTTATGAAATGTTTGACCGGTGGATCCACTGGTATCCTTTGTAGACGTGATTAGTAAAATGGAGTTCAATAAAAAGTTCAATAAACACACAACGCAAGGTACTTAAAAGTTCAAGAGAGGAGAATAATCTGATTCTATATATATTGTTAGCCATTTTGGTTAATTATCTCTAGATCTGCATGTATTAATGTAACCTGAAGGGACAATGAGAAATATATTTGTACTTTATACGTTGTGATTATCAAGCGTGCACACCATAAGTTATTACTTCAATTCTCTTAGTCATATACATATGGTTCCTTTATAATTTTTTTTCTTGATGACATGGGTGTCTGTGCCAACTTGTGTACATCTTAACTAATCCTTAAAACATGAAATTACCAACTGAATAAGAGCTCCAGCGATCACCCTTATTAGGGGTTGAGGTGAATCAAATTTAAGATCTCTGAGTAAGGGTAAGGGGTCTAGGTACCCGCCCAAATCCCATGGAACCAAAACCAGAATCGGTCGATTCTGGATTTGGAATTGGTTGGTTCTGGCTCCTAAATGCCTTAAACCGAAACCTGGAACAATTCCAAGTTTAGGTTTCGGGTACCCGACACTATTCACAAATAAAAAAAAAAATATGATTTTCTCTCTCCTCTCTCTTCTCTTTCATTTCTTGTTTCAAAATTTTCTTCTCTCTTTCTTCTCTTATTGGGGCAAATGATTAAAAAGCCAGGCTTTGAATTTAAACTAAAAGGCCATCTAGTCTTTTAGTCTTACAAATGACTTATTTTTTATTAAGACAAACTAATGACAATTAAACACTAATCAGTCTTAATTAGGATTAATGAAGTATTGTGTAATCTCTTAAAAATTATAATATGTCCCTAAAAACCTGAAATTCTTGCAAACAAAACCAAACATAACATCTTTTTCTCTTCCTCGCCATTAAGCATCCCTCCATTGGTTGTATTTATTCTAAGCTTCGTCTACATCTTATTCTTCCTCCTTCCTGTACATCTTCATCTTCCCACCATTACACTATCTTCTTCCTCCGCCATAACATCTTCTCTGCCACAGATCCTCCTCCTCCTCCTGAATTTCGTCCAGGTATGTGTATCTCCCATTTCCATTTTATTTCGATTTATAAAGATTTAATGATGGATTGGGTTATGATTTTGATTTAGTTGTTTAGGTTGTTGGGTTGTGTTTGATGTAATGCAAGTTGAAAGGAGTGAAATTTGTTGAATATTTTCTTACATTGTGGATAGCTGGGGGTGGTAGAACCGATTGTAGGTAGAGATGACTGAAAATCTGTTCTAGATATGATGGATCGCTTAAGCGATTTGGTATGTCTGGTATAATGCAGCAGATCATAAATCGCTTAAGCTAGCAGGTATATGGCAGAAGATCGCTTAAGAGATCTGCTATAAGTCTAGTGTATGGCAACATATCGCTTAAGCAATCAAGTAAATGACAGAAGATCATTTAAGCGATCAAACTTATTTATATTAGATCGCTTAACTGATCTAGTAAGTGATATACCAGATCGCTTAAGTGATATACCAGATCGCTTAAGCGATACACCAGATCGCTCAAGCGACTTTGCAAATGCTTTTTAAAATCTTTCAACCCTTAATACATCAGTTAATAATATTTTTTTTTCTTGCATTATAGGTACTTGGCTATTATTAGACATGTGACAAGTTGTTTTGGGTGTTGAATATTTTGGTGAGTTGGCAGAGGAAGAAAGTTGTTGGAAGTGGATTGGGAAGAGCAAAGAAGTTATACCAATTGCTGTGAGCACAGAGGTTAGTTTTGATGAGTTGATTGATGAAATAATTAGAAGAGGTGATTTGAATTGCTCACGTAGTGATATAGTTGTGAAGTATGTTTTAAGCAGAGTTCCTGAACACTATAAGATACCTCCTGCTATATTAAAGTCGGATGAAGGTGTGAAGTTATATATGATTGATGTGGACGATAATGGTTCGAGGCCGATTTTAAGGGTTTCTTTTGTAGATAAACCATTGGAAGTTGGTTCAAAGGAAAGGGATAGCGAGGAAGTTGGTGGAGAGAATGCTGGTTTTAATTTGAACTACGAGGACATTGATTTCTTAGTTGAAAAATCAAGAGTAGGCAGTGATTTGGGTGGTAAGGAGGACATTGTAGAAAAGGTTAGTCATGTGCGGCAGAATGAAAATGTTGAGGAAAAGGACCCCGTACATGTTCCCACAAATGTAGAGTTTCCTTTAAATACAGATTATGCAGAAGGTGTAGTTTGTGAGGAAAAGAACATTATGGTCCTTTATGTAGGTTCAGAGGTGGCAATTGCGGGTAGTAGTGAATCAACTCATGTTTTTATTGATGGATCAGACTTGCACATAGGTTATTTATTTGACAACAAAGAGGCAGTGGTGAGGAAGCTAAAACTTGTTGCCGTGAGAGGTAATTTTGAGTTTATCACCAAAAAGTCTAATTCATCGGTAGTGACGGTTGCATGTCGTGACCGAAAGTGCAAGTGGCAGGTTTATTGTAGAAGGTTGGTAGAGTCCGAAAAATTTATTGTTAGCACATATACCCATGAGAGCACATGTGGTTTGGGACACATTTTAGGTGAGCATTGACAAGCCTCCACTGATGTTATTGGACAATTTGTCAAAAGTCAGTTTGTTGAAGGGAAATGTCTATCTCCTAAGGACATTAAGAGATTTGTGCGCATAGAGTTGGGATACGTTGTTACTTATTGGAAATGCTGGAAAGTGAGACAACATGCATAAGATTTTGTGAGGGGCATGACAGAGCATGGGTACGCAGTATTAGAAGCATACTATTATATGCTTGAGTTGACAAACCAAGGTAGCAAGATAGTTTTGAAGTGGGACAAGAATACGAGGTTTAAATATTTTTTTTGTTGCTTACGGTGCTGCTATAAGGGGTTTTGTAAACATGAGAAAGGTGTTGGCTGTTGATGATTGCTCTTTGATGGGAAAGTATAAAGGTACATTGTTGGTGGCCATAGCACAGGATAGCAAGAATCACACATATCCCGTTGTATGGTGTGTGGTTGACTCTAAGAACGACAAGTCATGGACTTGGTTTTTTTAGCAATTACGTATGATAGTGCTTGACAGTGACGAGTTGTGCATAATATCTGATAAGCACAACTTTATAAAGAAAGGGATTGCCACTATTTACCCTTAAGCACATCACAGATTCTGTATGAGGCACCTTGATGAGAACATAAAATAAAAGTTTAAGTGTGCTGGCCTCCTTCATACATACTACATGGCAGCAAAAGCTTATCAGTTGATGAGTTCGAGGAGCACTTCCAACAAATCCAAATGAAGGATGATAGAATTGCTAAATATCTTGAGCATGATGTTGGTTTTGAGTGATGGAATAGAGCTTACTTTCCTAGAAGAAGGTTTGATGTCATGACCACGAACATAGTCGAGTCTATAAATTCGAAGTTGTTAATAGAAAGAGAATTTTCAATAGTTGCCATTTTTGATGAAATCCAAAGGACATTGTCACGGTGGTTCCATGAGGATCGTATGAAATCAGATAATTTTATTACAACCCTTGTTCCGTCAGAGAATGCATGGAACTGTCAAATGCACTATTTGCCTATCCTCTTAATAATCAAGAGTTCACCATGCACGACAATGGTCTGGATGCTCTAGTTAACCTTTTTAGTAAAACTTGCAGCTATAAAGTGCTTGACATTCAACGTTTACCTTGTCCTCATGCACTAGCAGCACCGAAACACTAACGAAAGCTGGATTTTGGTTCAAGAATTTACATGGAACTTTGCTCCCCTCTCTATATGGCAAATCACTACATGCTGGCTTATTCAGAAACGATATATCCAGTTCCTCCAGAAGAGCAGTGGGTGGTGCCGCCAGAGTTGGTTCACATTATCATCCATCCACCATTTAGAAGACAAAAAATTGGAGAAAAAGAGTTAAGTGTATTCCATCAGTCTGTGAGGTTCCCCGGAGGATGAATAAATGCTCAATTTGCAAGCAACCTGGCCATAAGAGAAGCAGTTACCAAAATCAATGACATGCAGATCCAGAAAATTAGGTTTGAATTGATCAGTAGCAAGAAAGCAAGCAATCTGTAGATAAGATCATATCAGATCGCTGAAGAGACATAAGATTGCTTAAGCAATCCTCGATCGCTTAAGTGATCTGCTCTTATCTATAGATCTAAACATCAGATCGCTTAAACGACCTAAGATCGCTTAAATGATCTGTTGCTCATATCAGATCTGAACACTAGATCGCTTAAGCGATCCTTGATCTCTTAAGCGATCTGCTGCTCCAATCTGATTTGTGACCACCAAATCACTTAAGCGACGTAAGGTCACTTAAACGATCTTTTCTTATATGCAGATCTGACAAGCAGATCGCTTAAGCTATCTGATGAAGTTATTATGTTTTTATTTTCTGGTGCATTAAACTAATTTTATGTCCCTGTATTTGTAGCTATGTCATCAAGAAGAAGAGTGAAATCGAGAGAGTTGCCAAGGCCAACTGTTGAAGAGTTGTTGTTTTCAAATTTTTATGTTTTAAATTTAATATTTACCTTGAATAATTCATCCTTTATAACGTATTAAATCAAATTAATTATTTTTCATTTTCATCAATTTTAAAAAAGGTTTAAGTAAGTAAAATTTCACATATTACCTCTGTACGACATTGATTGCTACCCAAAAAAGTAAGACAAGGAAAATAAATATTATCAACATAATTGTCGTATCAAGACAATCAATCAATCAATCAATTTACTGAATCAGTAATGATTGTGGCACGTTTGTAGAAACGCACCTCATTTCACAAATATAGATGGTTATGGTTGAATATAGAGCTCACCCATAATACGAAATATAATTTCTCATTCAAATGTGCACAATATCAAAAAATTGGCGAGATAAGAAGCAAAATGGCTTTGGTTGCTTAAATGATCCATGAATCGCTTAAGTGACCAAGACCAAAAGTAAAGAATCGCTTAAGTGATCTTGATTCTGCCTTGGACATGATCACGATCGCTTAAGCGACCAAGGGTAAAAGTGAAGAATTGCTTAAGCGAATGGACGTGATCGCTTAAGTGATTAATGCTGAACATACTGGATTGCTTAAGCGACCCATATAGTCGGATGACCTTTATTCTGCATTTGACAAGATCGCGTAAGCGATTTATTATCGCTTAAAAGACCAAGGCTAAATAGACAGGATTGCTTAAGCGGAGCCATATATCGCTTAAGCGATTAAGGGTAATTT